CCAGAAGCCCATACAAGCCTTGTCCGTCTCTGTATGTGTCAACTTCAGTTTTTCATACCAATGCTGCGGTTGCTCGTGGTGTTAGTAACAGGCCATCTTGAGGTTGTCTCCCAAAGTGCTCGGCGTCCTACCGTCGGCGGCCGAAGCCAGTCCTGCTACAGTCTCTTTCGCTATAATTGTGTCACGTAACAGTTATGAGAACGGCAAGCCCCGAGGTACCCATCACGTGTTATATCACGTGTATGTCATATACATCCTACATAGTCCGTTCTCTTTCGTCTATTTCGACTCTGGTAGATGGAGCCACTTGACCACACCCCGTATGCTCATTGCTGCGTACCATCACTCCTGGCGCATTGACACAGCTTCTAATCTGTTTCCGGGAGTTCAAAAGTTTGCTGCCTTAATTCTGCATTGGTGACCGCTGCTCCTACAGTTGCCCATTTTCCGTGCCACCTGCCTATGTTCGGGAATATCCGTACTTTCTTATTGGCACTTCCACTCCAATGGTGCCTAGAAGTTCAGTATTTTGGTCCGTCTTGACTGCCTTGATTGACGTACTGTTGTTGGCTTCATGGACTTCGTCATCTGTTGCCACCTCAAAAGAAATGCATGGGGCCCATCGCAAGCACAAAACACATTGAACGTGCGCCTCGTCGAGTATGTTGACGCATCTGTTTCCCTTTGCGAGATCTCAGCATCGCAGTGTCTGACCGCAAGCTACACTTGCCAAGTATCTGGAGCCAGTATGGAAGATAAGGGCCTGCAATCAATAGTTATGGCCATTGGGGCCTTGCTGCAGTTTCCTCTGGTATCCCAAAGATATATTGTCTTGTCACGGGTGGCTGCTGCCATAGAATAGGCTGAACTCCTTGCCGGCGATTCTCCTGGCCTGACAATTCTTGCTGTATTTACGTAGGCGCTGGTCGGGGCGATTGTTCGATGTGCGATAATATGTTGGTGGTCTATGAGCGTTGCCTTCACCTCAGGGTTTGCCGTTCTGATATTCTGTGGACGACCCGTACAGTCTTCGTCAGCCAATAGAAGAAAGCGGCCGTCCGGCTATGGATAGGCATGGAGAATCCAGTCCCTAGAGCACTAAAGTGTCTCAACAAAGCAGCCAGTTGCAATATCCCATATCCGCAGTGTCGCGTCGCGGCTGGCCGAAAAAAGTAAGCATTGAGCCTACGATGCTGGTGGGTCCAGGGAATAGGAGTCAGACTGCACTGAAACTGTCGTCGTGGTCAGTTCGGATGGTCTTGTAGTCGTTTAAAGATCTAAATGGCGCGGCAACCTGATTGCCAAGTTATTCGAACATGAAGCCAGCAGCATGACAGCCGACAATCCACAGAAGTCAACGTTGATCATTGCTTTCGTTTATTCTCCAATTGTCTTGTTCAGCTCGCTAAGCTCTTAGTCCCGGATTTCCATGGTGCGATCTCCTGATCCTGAGTCGAGGGCTGGAATGATGGGGCGGAAATCAATATGCGTGAAGAATGTGCGATGAGATCAAAGCGTGTGAAGGGCGAAGGAGAGAACCAAGAGCTTTACATGACGACGGGTTGAGTGTCGATCGTTCGATCTCTGACCGTAAGGCTCCAATAATGGACTTGCATTTCATGATCTAGTCTGTGTCGTAAAAGGTTCCCAGGCATAGCAACGCTACAAATGACGCAGACGGAAACAACAGATCTTCTGCGTGAGCCGCACCAGGCTTGTCCGCTTTTTCTTTAGCAAACCTTCGTGATTACTGGAGACAGTGGGGTCAGTTCTATGTTATCTCTACATCTACGACATCATTAACAACGATCTTGAGGCAGCGAGTAGTAGTTACTCGCCTTCTCACGGAGGCGCTCTCCTAGGCTTAGGACAAGCCAGGTTCGTGAACGAGATGGCGATAGTAGGAGGCCCTCACACGTAAACCCTGCCCTTCCTCATTGTAGGACAGCGGCATGGGGCTGCGGGAGATGTCTTGGCACTTGACGCTTTAAGGCCCTACGTGCTACAAAAGAGAAGTCTCCCGGAGAAGTCTTCCGGAGAAGACGTGCTAGTGTCCGTTTGGCCCAGAAAAACATGTATGCCTCTATTTCCGAGCCTGATCCACCTTCAAGGCATTGGAACGTGTCTAGCTCGACATGCAAAGTTCTTTGCTTGCCATGCACACTTCCCCTGGCTATCGTGACGAAGGTAGAGGGGGCGAACGCAACAATTGACTGGTCTTGGGCTGGCTCCTTCCATATCAGGAATAACTCATGACCGCCAGATGGTGCTGCAACGTGTCAGCACCTGATGATTGGCGTGTTCTTAGCCGCGATAGCCTTCGTTGGCGGGTGTCTGGAGACTAGCCTTGGCCTTGCCAAGGGCCATCAGTTTGCACCAGCGAGCTTTAGATAGTGTTCTGCGAGATACGTAGAACCCGAACTAAGATTATGTACGTAGATCGAGTGTGCTATGGCGCATTGAGACTCAGCTGCGTAGTCCAGGCGAAAGAGTGACGATACTGGGCGTACCAAATCCACCGGCTCAGCTCCATCCTACTTGTTGTTATGCAAACGTCCCCGCAACCAATCGGACAGGTCTTTGCCTTAGTTCAGGCGGTTAAGCTGCTTCTTCAGCCTGATGGACCAGGAATTTGCGCATGGATGGCCGAAGCCAAACATCAATGAGCCTACAAAGCTGTAAGGGCCGTCAACCAAGATATCTGCGATTTCACTCCCAGCGTCCATACCGGAGGAGAACCCGGCATCTGCCATGACACCCGCTATATGAACCTCCCGTGGTACCACAGGACACACTCTACCATGCGAGGTCCGACACCCGCGTGTTGTGGACACCATTGCCTAGAATAGAGCTGCTCATGTTTCGACGAAGCCTTTGGTAGTCGTGGTCTTGGGTGTAAGTAGGAGGCTACTATATGCGTATATCAGACACACCGCGTTGGACGGCTGGACGCCATCGTAGAGTTCTGCTTTGCGCCAGGCTGACTTCCCGTGTCAAAGTTGGACGACGACCTTCTCACTAATTCTCGAAGGAGAAAAGAGCGCGGGGCCGGTCGTTGGATCCTTCCATCGAGTGGAAGCTACCATGGCGGATACTGTCTAGGAAGGACCCTTCCAGGATACGCTCTACATCCCGAGACTAGATGTGTTCGTCGGATGTCCCGCGATTGGACAAAGTAAGCCACTGACAACACCGGAAACGACCCGAAAAGACGCCGCCAATTCTTCCTCTAAAGAAGGATTTCCTTGTTCTCGTCGTCTGCCGGCGAAGGCCGAGGTGTTAACGGCCACCCTGCAGACCCTAGCACGTTGCGGCTTGTCTGCAGCTCGCCCAACGAGGAACGTGGCCTGCACACCGGCACGGTTCCAACAGTCTCGAGGTATACGCTGATCAGATGGAAAGGGGGGGTGCGGGAAGGGGGTGCCAGAGCAGACCCTCGTATCTACGAAAAGGTACATGACAGGGATCGCGGTCATGGACCCGGAAGCAGGGGAGCAAGGCCGGAAGCAACAGCCCAAGGCGAGTCGGGGGTATGAGGCACTCAGCGGAGCACTTACACTATGTTACAGTGGTCGCTGGGAGATGTATCATCTGCAGGATTAGCGAGTCACAGCCTGCAGCGTTGTGCGCGTTTTCCTCTGGAAAGGCGGAAATTCAAGTTCCCAGCCGCGAAGCATATCAGACATAGAAAGATCTCTGTGTCATCTATCAAAAATCCAGTCTCTGCAGATCGTCCGAGACTGACTCCACCTTACTAGCACGCCTGCTTCAGCTATTGATTCGTCCCGAACAAGCTAGCATGGCATCAGACAGCAATGCTGGCATCCTTGTGAAGTATCTGTTTGCCGTCGCAAGAGACAAATTTGCAAAGCGAGGCGAGCTACTACCTCGGTGACCCGAGCATGCTGTCAACCCATCCGACCAAGGGAGTGACGAGAGGCAAACTTACATGTCTCCCTGATGGGCTGTCTCTGACGGAATACAACCTTGCCGGACGGCCTGATAAAGAGCCCAATTGGTGCTGCTGATCAAGTGCTGGCGACAGGCTTGAAGTCAAGGACTGCATGATCATTCCGTTAACCGCCCTGCGGAATATCGCAGCAGCACCGCGGCGCCGAGTTCAGAGCCTAGAGCCATCCTCGGCTTGCACTGGTTCCTGCTCCCATTCAAAGCGAAATCGACTGCCACCGCCATTCAAGGCGTCTCAGACAATCGATTCGCCTTCGGACGCTCGTCATATCCCGCCGCGACCAAAACCCTACGTGTTTCCTAGCCCCACACTCACGACGTCCGCCTTCCGTCACTCTCAACTTGAGTGCCACCGCTTCGGCTGGAACCTTCGTTCCTCAATTGGGAAGTGCATACATACAAGCCGACACCATGGAGGCATCTTCGAGAGATGATGGGCCGGCGGATCTTCTTCATATCCTGGATCAATCAAACCTAGGACGCTCGGGGCGATTCGGCTCGAACAGTGGTTCTTTTTCTGTCACCACTCCCGCTTCTGGAAACATGATGAATGCACCGCCGCCCTAACCACCACCGCTACTCCCCTTCGGCAATCTTCCTACGTACCATCAGGACCCCAGAAGACACCACTGCAATTCATACAACCCAATGGAATACATTTATCACGACAGCTTAGGAAGTTCGCAATACGGATCACCATGCTCGATGCCCGCTTATAGGAGCGATGAGGGCTATTTGGGCATTGGCTGCTCTTCAGCTTCGGCTTCCACAAGGTTGGAGACCCTAATACTCCTTTGATCTTTGATTTGATTTCAAGAAAGGGTGAAACCCTTAGACTGTCGAAAGTTGGTGCCCGTCTGACATCTTTGCCGTCATAGTACCGAAGCTCCCTGCCTAGCATCCCGGCCGGGTTTGGTCTGCATCACAACCAGTTTCAATCCCTTTCTAGTGCCGATACCCTCGTTGATATAAAGAAGAAGCTCGCGCCTTGGAAGAAATTTGACAACAAGGCGCCTAGCTCACTCCCGAGTATGTCAAGCACATCGTCAACTACCGAATCTTCCTGGAGGAGGCCGTCCAGCGACATGTGCGACCCCACGAATATCGTGTCTATCGGGCTGCCGTTGCACCTCGAGACGTCAAACCTACTAGACTCTCCTGACAGGTACACGCAGATTCCTCACTCTGCTCTCCCACCTCCTCCGAAGCCTGCCGTTCCATCTCAAACAGTATTATTGCTCCCCGTTCTCTTCAAAAAGGGACAACATCGACGATACGTCATCAAACAGTGACAAGACGGACAAGATGGAAATGGAAGAGACCAATTCCGCGAAGAGATTGCGAACAGAGGATCCCATGAGGGCGCACTACGACGGTATCGGGGTGAAGCGCCGTGCCTCAATGGACCCCGATAACAGCGTCCCACTTGCTTTCACAATCCCAAGTGACTCACTGCGTCGCCGCGATAGAAGCCAAAGAGTATCGCCCGCATCTCAACCAAGCGTCATTCCTCAAGGATCATGGTCTCACAGTTCGGATTCACACCTGCCAACGGAGAGCATCGTCAGCATAGGTTTGTCATATGGTCAAATTCCTCCGGGCGAATTGCCTCCGGGGGCCATTTCGTCTGGCGGGATTGATGACATCTGCATCTCACCTCAAAATGGATTGATGTCACTGAACGCCTCACCTCGCGGCTCCTTTTCCAACGTAACCTATCAGCGGACCATCAGCGAAAACGGGCCTCTCGCTTCTTCCCGCAAGCTCACGGAAGTGAGCAAGCCTGATGAATACAAGATCTTCGAGGGTTTCTTCATGTGTGACTGTTGCCCGAAGAAGCCCAAGAAATTCCAGTCGGCCGGGGATTTAGCGTGAGTATAGGGTCCGCAGATATTGCGAAATCATTTGAGCATGAGCTGAATGTTTGCAGGTCTCATGAAGCTGAGAAGCACCATAAATGCTCGTTCTGTGAGAGTCGATTCAAGAACAAAAACGAGGCGGAACGCCATCAAAACAGCCTTCATATTCGGCAAAAAAGCTGGAGTTGCCTGGCTTGAATGCTTATGATCGAGCCTTTCACAAGAGGATCAATCGCCCCGGTGCAGCAGACTTCTGTGGTTACTGTGGTGAGGATTTTCCCAGAAACGGGAGTGACTCTGGTGATTCCGCTTCGCGTCGAATCACGGGCCAGGAGTGGGAAGAGCGCGTCCGCCATCTTGAAGAGGTATACAAGTTCCGAGAGTGCAACAAGAGCAAGACATTCTTCCGCGCGGACCATTTCCGTCAGCACCTTAAACACAGCCACGTAGGCACTAACGCCAGATGGACGAACGTGCTGGAGAATGCTTGCATGTTGGATGAGAATACAACTCCGAGATGAGCCTAAATTGGCAGGCATGACTTGTCGACGAGAGCTCGCTAGAATTTATCATTCAGCTCACACGGTCATATACCCAATGCGAAACCTCGGAACACAGAACCGCAACTTAGGGTCGACGCACCCAGCTCATACGTCTGCCCACGGCGGGGCGACTCGATACCGAGCCGACGACGCGCAGGGCCCCCAGAGCTTTGTTTCTTGCATGGGATTTCTTTGCATGAGATAGCAGAAACTTCTTGCTTCAAGGCTAAGCTACAAGTTTTCTTGTCAGCTATAGGTAGTACAAGTTTTAAGAGTGTTCTGTTGAGGCATGCGGGCGGCATCCATAAGTTTAATGTGCTGGCCGATTGGAGGCATCCATGCCTAAGACACCGATTGGTCTCCATTGGGGCTTTTAATATGAGTTCAACACAATACAAAGATAATCACCGAAGGAATTGACGGCACAGCCGGCAACGGCTGCCATAAAAGACAAAGCCTGATCAAAAGACCTTCACTCTCGTCTGCGCCCTGCATGCACGAAGTCCCGTTGAAATAGGGCAGCGGGCGATTATTGGCGGATTTGACAGCAGAAAAGGTGTTCGGGCCGCGGCAAACGATCTCCTACCTAGGTACTTACACCCAACAGAGGAGTCTCGGCCTCTGCCCACCTTCCTCCCATACACATACGCTGTTCAATATACCAACCATCAAGCTTCGTACCGATCAAAAGGCCTGCTCTACTGACGTGTACACCAAAAACCACGTCTCATGTGCGCATATAATGGCGACTTCACCATTTCTCAAGTTCAGGCGCGTAAATCATCCATCCCGTGCGAATTCCTGTATGTCCTTGAGCACGACACCAAGCCGCCAATCTTGATTCTATTGTACAAAGAAGTCAATATTGACTCCTTCTACGTTCGGACTAGCCATCGTAACTTCAAGGAGTCGGGGGTGTTCCGCTGTCCGCGATTTATGACGAATATCTCTGGTCAGGTCATAGTGGTCCGGATCTTGGTGGAAGACGTCATCGAGAGCGGCACATGATGACAAGTGCAGGGAGTCCTCTCGCTCATCTGTGACAGTCATGCTAGAGAGGCATTACTACTTAGTACCCAAAGAAGAGCTTCTTTCCAAGTGGCTAGCCCGCGATCCAGCGGAGTCGTCGTAAGCTATTGGCCGGTCGTCCTCCAGATTGATGTCGCTGCTCGGAGTCTTGTCGGTCTTGACCCTCCGGGGTTCCAATAAGCCGCCACTTCTATGCGGTCGAATCATCGAAGAAACATTATCAGTCTTCCTCGAGCTTCGATTTGTATACTTCCGGTGGACCTCGGCGAGAAACTGATCCATTCTCTCAAGATACGTGACGTATTTGAGGCCATGCCAAAGTAAGGCGCAGCCTTGGTCAATGCTTGGAGAGCGATGCTGAAAATTCTCGTCGGCGCCCTCTCAGACGTGGCCCCCGAGTTCTGTTCCTCGATTTCCTGCTGGTCGACCATATGACTCTGAGTATCCATGTGAGGATAGTGCCATGCGTAAGTTCTCACGAAGGCTGCTGGCCTGTTTCGATATAGTCACAGAACTTGTATACTGCGGTTTCGTTGCTTGCCCACTCGATGATAGGCCTCAGCAGGTACCAGGCGAAGTCGGCATTGTCCTCAAGAGTCTCCAAGCCGAAGTCTTCCTTCATCGCATCGATCTCCTTGGCGAAGCCCTTGTCAAGCACACTGTCTACTTGCTTGATGACGAGCTTGACATCGGCAAAGCAGGTGCGCGGCAGGACCTGCTCAATGGGAGTGAAGAATTGCCAGAAAACATCAAAAGCCTGCACGACGGCAGAGCTGGCATGGTAGACAGCAAAGGTACCAGGTGCAATGACGGATGTTCACGCGGAGAGAGTGCCAGGACAACTGCCACCGATCAACATCCATGGAGACTTGTCTGCGTTGGCGCCTTTCTTGTCGAAAGGAAGCCCGACAGTTTCGGAATTCAAATCAAGTTTCGACTCGAACTCGACTGCTGATACGCTCCCCCCACGTGAACCAAAAACTGCAAGCAGGAAAAAACGAGGAAATTGCGTCACGCGAATGTGAAGAGAGATTGGCTCACGTCCGCGGCAGGCAGCGCCAAGGGAGAAGACTCCCGTCAGTTAAATTTCGTCATGTGTTAGCGTTGGTCTTGTCGGAGCCCTTCTCTTATGTGGCGCAACTGATTGCATCGCGCAACAACCCTTCGTAAATATCGCGATGAATATCTTTTACTTTTTTCTAACGCTCTCTCATGCTGGTTATGCCCGGTCGACATTTTCCCATAACTGTTCGCTCCGCGGCGGGGGGAATCGTCATAGCTTCGTCCCCAAGATTATAACGCACTCGTAACTTCTGTCTGAAAATCCTGTACGCGCTTAAATGTGGTGCCCTGACACAACGTTCTCATCCATCATCTCCATATAACCATGTCTCGGGCTGGGTGCCTAGAAGCCTGTTCCACCTGCTCATATGACCCCTTCAAGAAATACTCCCGCTAAACTGGGGCAACGGGTTGCCACCGGCCATCTGCGTATAGAAGGGGGGCTTGAGCATGTCCTAGTCAACGATATTGGGCGCGCAGACCATCCCGCCCGTCGTAAATTCCTGAATGTCCTCAAGCATGGTGCCGAATCGCTGACCCTGGTTCTGCTGTACATAAGAATCGATACTGGCTGTCTCGGTATTGAGATTAGCCATCGCGGCCTCGTTTGACAGGAAGCTGGGAGTTGGCGGGAAGCCCTGAGTTGGTGAGCGATGCGGACTGCCTCCCGCATAGCCTTCGTGGCTGGCTTGCTGGTGGAATGCGGCGGCGTTGATGGCGGTAAATGACGACGCTTGACGAGAATTCCTTCGGCTGTCCGACCCGCTCCCACTCAAATGGGAATATTCATGTCCAAGGGAACAGCTCCTTTCCAGTGTGCTAGCCCGCGATTCATCGGAGCCGTCGTACGCTGTTGGCCGGCTGTCGTCCATGATGATGCAGTTGCTCGTAATCTTGTCGGCCTTTGCCCTCCACTCTTCCAGTCCGCCGCCACCTCCACCCAGTCGAATGGTCAGAGAACCATCCCCGCTCTTTTTCGAACCTCGATTTGTGTAGTCGGAGTAGACCTTGGTGAGATACTGATCAACGTCCTTGAAATACGTGACGTAATTGGAGGCCATGCTTTGGTAAGGTGCAACCTTGGTCAATGCTTGGAAAGCAATGCTGGTGTTCCCCGTCTGCGTGCTCTCAGACATGTTTCCCGAATTCCGTTCTTCGATCTCCTGTTTGCTGACCATATGGTTTTGAGTATCCATGTGAGGGTAGTGCCGTGCATATATTCCCACAAACGCTGCTTGCCAAATCGCGAATATGACCAATGACGAATGTGGAAGTTTGTCTCTGCATGTCGAGATGAGGTCGATGATATGCCTTCCAGCTTTGAAAACCTGCTCTGCGCTTCGTTCCCAAAAGTGGTCGGGAACATTTTCGCGGTCGAATACAGGCTCATCCAGAGGGCCGACCGGCTCAGAACATTTGATGGCGATGAACGGGATGTATTCGCGATGCAGCATGATTTTGCATAGGGCACCTAGCATGTGAAGCGACACATACATGCTGTTGTCGTGTTTCCAGAAGTTCGAGCTAGACCAGGTGAACTCTTCCGGAAGGTGAGCGTAAAAGGCGTCTACCTTCTTATTCAATTGATAGAAAGTCGACTCTTGGTCCCACGGTGGAAGGGACTCCGTATGGCGGCCGCCCGCGAAACTGTACTTGGTGATATCGCCCCAGAAATCTGCTAGTTGCACGAATCGACTCAACACGCTGTCATCTATTGGTGGCTCCATGCCATGTCCCATCTGCCGCAAAAATCCGGTGTAGACGACACGGCTAAGGTCGAAGGCGTGTTCAGTGCATGGCAGCTGGATTTGAAGATCGTCGGACCGAACCATAGAAACCCGATCTGATCCGCAGGATAGGAGACGATCCAGTATCAAGCAACTGAACATGGTACGACGCCTCACCTCCTGATCTTTCCAAAGGTCGGAGGGTGGTTGGGCAGATTTACTTGACCAAGGAGACATGGGCAGAGTTCTCTTGCCGCCCAAAGGCTTGTCTCCAAACCCCAATTTCAAGCCTTGAGCCATCTGTATGGCAACGCCAACATACATCCATGCAGCCAAGCCGCCATTCGGCTGACTCCATTTGTACAAGCCCAGCATGAGAAAAGCTTGAACACGGACGACAGTCGCTGATGTCAGAGCTGATTCTAGTTCTCCCAGTGCCTTTGTCAGAGCGTTTGCGAAGTACTCTGAGAACATTGACGGCGCCGAACTGGTTAGTATACCGCGAGACTTGGGGTCCGCGATCTTTTCGTGTGTGAGGTGTGCCACATTTTTGACCAAGTCGGGATGAAATCTTGCAGTGAGAGCCAGAATGCCCAATAGAACCAGATTCGATTCGGTTGACGCCCTCTCGTTCTCTTTATCGTGAACGATGACTTTGAGAGTTGGGAGATGCAAGAACGGGAGTTCGGTAGCGAAGTGCAGCCTGTATATGTCGAAGAGTTGATGCCACAACTCGACGGTAAGATAGGGTGCCGAAAGGACTTCCTGAGCAAGTGCTGCAGCAGTACTTCCATCAGAGGACGTTGCATCTTCGAGCTTCTTCACTCGCTTCCGGCCACGGCTAACCTCCCTTAACTGCTTCGGCGCAGTCGGCGGCTTTGATAGTTTTGCCGGAAGAGGCGTTGATTCAGGAAACTCACACTTATGTCCTGCCTTGATGCATGTGTCGCAAGGCGATCCAGTGTTATCGTTGTCGCATTTGATTTTGGATTTCCTGCATCTCAAACAAGCTATGCTAGATCTCATCGGCGGCTGCATGGCTCTAGAAGGTCTTTTGGGTCTTGAGCCTCCCGCCGAGGTCGATTTCAAGTCATCGCCGTCGGTGATGATGTAAGTCTGAGGTATGGCTTCTCCCGGAGCTTGCTTGCCTGCCGACTTTGCTGCGGCGAGAGTTGTGGAGGTATCCTCCTCTGAGGCAAAGAGTTTATAACATCTTCCCTTTGGCGTGGTCTGAGTATGGAGCGCTTTGGATTCGTCATCGGACTCCGAGCCAGGAGAGAGCAATGACTGAATGCGAAGTTGGGAAGAAATTGTAACGGTTCGGGTCTGTTATAGACCCGTGAAGCCAGCAAGGGGTGCAGACGACTAGGGGCATGGATGATAGAGAGGGTGAGATGCGCAGAGCTGGAGTGTATGGCCACTACCTGTCGAGGCAAAGCTCAGAGTATGTCAGATAGCACAGTCAAGGGGACACTGGCTGCTAACAGGACGCAACGGGCAGGTGTTTGCTTCGAGTGACACACAATGAGTTTCTAAGCGAAATTAGGATTTGCAGGGAGCCAAAGGGACTATAGCTGAATGAACGTCTTCTTTCTGCTTTCTGGAGATGGAGAGCACAAGTTTTAGCGAAAGTAGTTGGCGCCGAGAAGCCGAGGTCGTTCGAGAACGTTGGGATGAAGAGAGTTGATCTGCTGGAAATGGCCAAGGGCAAAACGAGAAAACCAGTAATGTGGGATTGGAAAGTCAAACGAGGTGGGGTGTGACCAACTTAAACAAGAGCAATCACTCTAACGCTCACGTGCCCGTGACGCAGGCTGAGGAGGGTGGAAACGTGGTTTGTTTTTAGCCACTGTGTCGTCAGCCCTCGGGTTGAGTTTATACCCGTTTTCAACGGCTATCACTGCTTGCTCGCCCTTCTTCATCTGTTCGTTCTCCTATTTAGCCGGCCTCCTCCGCTTCTTAATTAGTGACAACTCCCGGCATTGGTCTTTTTTTTTTTTTTGAAGACCCTGAGATCAAGATGTTCTTATGGCTTTCCCGACGCTTTCGTCCAGGGTGCTGGATTATCTATCTTCCCCTTCCATATTCATCCTACGATCTCCGACAAGTACACGCAATCACGAACACTTGTTTTCGCTGACAGTAGAGCATTTAGGAACCTTTCAGTCCCGCCCGGGCTTTGATCTTGCGCTTTCAACCCTTGACAGATCTAGGTGACTGCGGAGATGGGTGTCAGTCAGGAGCCTCAAGTTGTCTTTGAGGGCAATTTCACGCATTGATACCATCTCCACGCCCAAGATGCATTTGGGGAGTAACCACCGTCTAATCGGCTTTGATACTGGAGGTATCGTGTTACTTCTCCGGAATAAAAGATGACAGTTGATCAGAGTAGCCGCGACGAAAGTAGACAGAAAGGCATGGAAAATGAGTTGAAGATCGAGTGCCAACCAAATGCAAGCAGTTGTTTTGCCTTTTCGAAGCCTACTGCTGCCTCTCCTTGTGCCTATGTTCATGTGTACCAAAGGTTTCCTTGAAGCCTTCACCGTCGCCGGAAATGTCTGGACGACACGGAGTGTTAAATTCGATACGTGAATACTATACTTGTTGATCTGTCCGAACGACTACTTTCCTCGTCTGCAGTTGCTCCGTTTGAGACCACCCATGTTTTCACCCACTCCAGTAGCTGTATCGCCTGCATGAGACGCATAGTCGACTCTAATCGCTTATTTACAGAGTTGCGTAACCCTTCACGACAGTACTGTCATGCAATTGAACTCGTCGGGTCAACAGCGATCTGTGCAGATTCGTCTTGCCTAGTCGATCTTACATCTCCAAGCTCTCAGGTTAGGATTGAGCTTTGGGATAGACGTCCATCGCATAGTCGTAGAGAAGGTGCAGTTGATCCGGTGCAGTGTGGGGTATAGAGGACATGCCAGTGAAGACGTCGAAATGTTCAAGATATTGAATGTACTTCTCGGTAGCTGATGAAGTCTCACAAGCTTCCTCATGATGCTGAGACGCGCTCCCGAAGACAATCAGATCATCGAGCGATGCGGCAGCCAGCACCTTCCAGATCAACTATAGAAGGGATTCGCGGTAGTTCAGTTGGCCACAAGGTCCTCGTATACTTTCGACGCTAATAGGAGGAAGTCGGATGCGAATTTCATAACTTTGATGTACATGACAAAACTGAATTCCGTCGAGGCCTGTTTGTTGGTCCACGTCGGGCCCGCCTTGGGAGAACGTCTCGTCTTGGACCGGCATGTTGTACTTCTGCATCTTGCCAACTTGGCCAGAAACATCAATGGCAGAGTCTGTCAAATGTCGTTCGTCTTGATAACCGCCATCATCAAGCCTATCTGAGCAGATGGAAAGCAAGGACTGACGTCGGTGGTGTGCATGATTTCTCAACCCGTCCGACGCGAGTATCACACCAAAGAGCTGAGCCGTGCCATCTGCAGGCATGATACCCGGATCATGACTGTGGTTCAGACCGTGATTCTGACTAAGGGCTGCTCTTCGCCTAGCAGCTTTCTTCTCGGCATGAATCTGGGGGCTAGATAAGTGAACGACAACACAAACTGGTCTACGTCGGCGGATGATTTGACTGTCGAGAGGGTTAGTTAGCGAGAAAGTTTTACCACACAGGGCGCACGTGTCTAATGATCATCTTCGTCAGCAAGATAACAAGCTGCGTCGATCAGGGAGTTGTTACTTACGGCGCAACAGGTAAAGCTTCAAGTGGCTCTTTCGCATGTAGGTCGTGTTGCAGTAAGGGCAAGGCAACTTGCCACCGACATTCTTTACCGGATCGCATGTGCTCTTTGAATTGCGAGTGCCAGCTACAGTGACAACAGGGCAGTCAAGAGCGCTGGAGAGAATGCCCCGGCGACGCTGGGAGCCAACGGCGTATATAGGCCGTTTGACCTCATCTATGCCATTGAGCATAACACCGCCCTGGCAGTAGGGGTAGTTCTCACCGGGCTGGGGCATGATCCCATCAGCAGTGACGGGACACAAGGCAGGAAGAACGTGTGCAGACGTGGGGAAAGGCGCGGTGGACCGCCGGGAAGAAAAGGCCATGGTGGTCAGGGGCAGCATGAGTCGAGGTCTGGATGCCTGGGCCGGGTGAGGATACCAGCCCGTCTGCTGGCAAGAACCGCGGGACTTTTGCTGTTGAGGCTGATAAGGCGACATGTTGGCCTGGGAGCCCGGCATATCGGGAGTCGCGGGAGTGTGAGGCGCGTGAGGGTTGATGCCGTGCACCTGCAGATGTCTGCGGCTTCAAGGGCGGCAAAGTCTTGCGAGGTAGCGAAGAGCTGATTTGCGGAATTGGATGAGGCATGCTGGTGGCGGCAGATAGAGGACTGAGGTTGTGTTTTATGGTACGAGGCTCCGGGTGATAGATACCGTGTTAGGTATTGTCTTGAGGAGGGTCGAAAATGAGGACTAGGCACCGATCCTTGTTTCCCTCGTGCTTGAAGCGAGCAAAAGAAAAGGAAGCCTCCACCTGAAAACCCAAGAATTAAAAACTGGAAACTGCCGGGTATCTGGCGCCGTCGAGGGATGAATTGTGAAAAGGGGGTGTGCGTGGGAGGGAAAAGAAGTCGACCTCGCCAAGGTGGAGTCAAAGATGCGCCTCGTGGTGATTGTCAAGAATGGCCCCTTCGCGCGCCCGCGTGCGAGGCGGGGATGACAAAAGGCCAAGAAGCGCAGGGCGTGGTCACTTCTGAGTGGAGTAATGCTACAGAGACTTAGTTGAAACAGCAGAGCAGCATAGCTGAACGAAAATGGCCTCATTTCGTAGACCTCGTCCGTCTGTTGAAGGTTCAGCCACTCCATATCTCTGGCCAAACCCCACGCGGAAGAAGGACGAAGCGGTCAGAGTTGTTGCGACCAGCACAGATCGGCGAGGCAGGGATACAAGAGCTGATTCCAGATAGATAATCGCGCAGTGCTCCATGGCCGACAAAAAGCGCAGATGTTCTCATGAATGTTCCGTTAGATGAAGTCCCACGCGGGCTGCTCGCGCTGCTCAGCGAATGGCAGGAGACGGCGTACTGGAGCAGGGGTGGACGAGTACCTGATCGTATCGACCAGCCACGTCTGGTTTGTCGCCATACGAGGCTAGCGTGTGGGGAGTGCCTACCATGCGTACATACGTAGTAAGGTAGTAAGAGATGAGGTGGGCCACGGGGCGTGTCGAATTGTCCCTGCTCATTGGGGCGTGGACACGAGTAGGGGCGAGGGGCGTGCGCCCGTCCCTCTGATCAGCCTGCTTGCGGCAGGGGTCGTGAACTTGAACGGCTGGTGTCGGTATATAAGTCCGCCCATCCACCAGGGGCCCATTCTGAAGCGCGAATTACCTTCCAGATGGCGTCGATCCCTGTCGCGCGGATCATTGGCCATTGCGACAGCATATCAAAATCAGCGAGCGTACTAAGGTGACAGCAGAGAGCAGGACTCGTAGTCGATGGTGCATCGAAACAGCATGTGGCGCTGGCTATTCTGTAATGCCCTCACGCCGCCGGATGAGCTTCCCCGGAGCATGGACTGTCCTCCAGCCAGTTGGTCGTCCGCCGGTTTCTGACGATCAGCGAGACGCGGATGCTCCTGCAGCGGCCGCCGCTTCAAAGCGGATAGCAGCTGGTATTGTATTGGAATGCGCTCACGCTGTCCGCGGGTGAAGACAGCGAGTTGCCCAACGCTGCTACTTCCACCATCAACTGCCAGTTGACGGGACATGCTGCTGGGTACTTGTGTGACACCGCCCCTACCTAGATGCGCGATGGCCCTTTTTACGGAACTTTCTGCTCCCTTGGAACGCTTTCTTATCCTCCCTCATCACATTCCTCACCGTTGGTCATCGGCAAAACTGCAGTCGTTTCAGTGGCCATGTTGGCTGTATGTGTTCCGGTCACGATTCTCATGTGGTCACTGCTCAGGATCAAGATCCCAAGGGCCATATACGTGAGTGCAACCCAGATACTTCCATGCGCAGCCCAGTCTAGACCTAGACACAAGATAGATGATGCTCAATTGTTCTCAGGTTAGAATGGTTACTCGTGCCGCTTGCACCGTCATCCTGGAAGGCGTTGTGCTGGCACTGGCCATTCGACTCGCGACTTGGTGCCCGTCATACCTGCGGTTGATACGTGTATCCGCCCTCATCAGTGGTGCGCTTGCTCAGCGGCTCCTTTTGGCATGCCTGATACCATACAGAAGGACGGATGCCACGGGTAGCCACCACGCAATGTGCGTTATGGCAATCATGATGTTCGGGATCTCAGGAATCAGTGATTCATCCATAGTACGTGTTCTTCAATCCTGCCGAGCCCGCTCTAACCGACTATTAGACCTTGCTTTTCAGCGCCCAAACGATTTCCATGGTAATTTTGGATACGTGCTTGTGTAAAGGCGATAGAATTCTTGACTCTCTTCCAAATGTCGTTTGTTAACTCGTCGTTTGCAAGGCCTGTGACGACGGTCCATACACATGCTGAAAAGCCTGACGGTCCATACACTAGTCGGTGAATGTAAGAAAAACAAGGAGCATGAAGATGAGTCGAGGCGGGTGGT